GCAACGGCTGACCTCAGCATGGGTCGCCCTGGGGTCAGGCTGGGGTCAGGCAGGGGCAGGTGCCGGGAGTAAGGGAAGTTCAGAGGAAGCGGGACTCACTGTGTGGACACAGGAGCCGGCTTCAAGGGACTCTCTCTGGCTCTTCTCATGGACCAAGAGGAGCAATAACCGCCTCAGAAATGTGGGAGTGGAGGGTGCTTTTGGTTTGTCTCACTGACCAGACATTGATCTCAGGACTGGAGTCCTGACCCGCTGGACGAGAGGGATGTGAACACACCGAGCAGGGCAGGCAGAGGAGAGGACCGTGGTGCTCGGAGACACGAGTCCTCTCTGGCCACTGCTGCTCCTGGGCCACCAGAGGGCGACACGGGACCACCGGCTGTGCGGGCGCGGGGTGGGCAGGCCTGGGCACAGCCGCAGCCCCGGTGGGGGGGTGGGGCAGAGGAACCAGGAGCGTGTCAGGGGCTTGTGGCAGGGACGTGGGGGCTGGACACGTGTAAGGGTCACGGGGACAGGTCGCTGGCTGAGGGGACGTGGAGACAGAAAAGGGGCACAGAAGGGAGTGCTCACTTCCTGGGTTGGGACCACGGACCAGACCAGACCTGGCGGGTGGGGGGGAGGGGAACCGAAGACCGTTAGTTTTTCCTGTTTGTGACACAGACACCAGGAGGGGGGAGGTCCCAGAAGGAAGGGTCGGAGGATGGCAGAGGGGGTCGCATCCGTGCTGAGGGCAGGGGACGGGCTTCGGGTGGTGGCACCAGGGCATGTGCAGGTGATGGCGCGCAGAATCGCACCCGTGGAACCTGGACAATCCTCTTCACCAGCGTCACCCATGCAGGGACCAACAGGGAAGCCGGGTTCCCGAGCCCTCCGGCCCCCAGGCCGGGACTGGCGGGGACAGGCCTGAGCCGCACACGCACGCACAGTCTCCATGGGGAGGGTGGGGGGAGGACGGGCCTGCCAGGAGGAGGAGGCCTGACCTCTGCCCGGCTGTGAGACAGGCCGGCGAGGACTGGCTGTGCGGGGGCTGCGCAGCACGGGGCTGGCACGTGGGTGACAGTGGGTGTTGCTGGGCCACAGGGACGGAGTCCAGGGACTCCCACTGGCTCACCCCATGGACCCCGCGGGGCAAGATCCTCCGGGCGCGGTCCAGGCCGTGAAAGGGGGAGCCGGAGCCGGAGCCAGGGGCCTCACGTCGTCAGGGAACAAGGGGGTGGAGTGGGAGCAGATGGGTCAGGAATGTTTTTAAAAATATATATTTTATTGATTTTTTACAGAGAGGAAGGGAGAGAGATTGTCAGAAACATCGACAAGAGAGACACATCGTTCAGCTGCCTCCTGCACACCCCGCACTGGGGATGTTCCTGCAACAAGGTACATGCCCTTGACCGGAATCGAACCCTGGACCTTTCAGTCCGCAGGCCGATGCTCTATCCACTGAGCCACACCGGTTTAGGCTAGGAATGTTTTTTAAAAACATATTTTTATTGATGTCAGAGAGGAAGGAAGAGGGAGAGAGAGAGAAACACCAATGATGAGAGAATCACTGATCGGCTGCCTCCTGCACGCCCCACACTGGGGATGGAGGCGGTAACCCGGGCCTGTGCCCTGACCGGGAATCAAACCGTGACCTCCTGGTTCAGAGGTCCCGCTGAACCCCTGAGCCCGCGGCCGGCAGGGGTGTGTGTGTCTGTGTGTGTGTGTGTGTGTGTGTTTTCACAGAGGAAGTGGCAGTGTGTGAGATGGGAGGACCAGGAGAGGAGTTGGAGGGAGAGGAGGGAGAGGAGGGGCGGGGCCCAGGGCCAGGGCACAGCTGGCCGCGGGCTTGGGAGGCTGCCACCCTGACCAGCCCTGACTGCGCCCGGGGAGGCCGGGTGTCTGAGGGGAGGCCGGGTGTCTGAGGGGAGGCCGGGTGTCTGGCGGAGGCCGGTGTCTGGGGGGAG